AAAATTACCTAAATAAATTTTCAAAATTTTGTTTGTTGTTATGTTTTTTTTACGTTATAACAATATGCTTCCTACGCGCCACGATGCCACGAAAAAGATTGTTCACTAGTATTTTCATTAAACAACAAATTAAATCTCACAGTCACGTTATCGTTTCGACGAAGAGTTGCATTTTTTAATTTTAAATATGTAACAGGTTTCGGACACTTCACTAACGCCTCGCCATGATCACAAAATAAACAGTTTTTGTCGTCAGATAATATATTTTTTTTGAAATTAAAGAGAACGACATTATTCAGAAAATTACACGACTGCAAAGTAAACCAGTAGATGTAGAATCGAGCAAGACTGATTAACAACTGAAAAATAATTTTCAAAATGAGCCAAAAATTCTAAGGTAGGGTTGAATTTTCTATTTGGAAGGTTGTAAAAATTGTTTATGATAGGAAAAAAAAAATAGAAGAAGAGTTAAACGTACAATTTTTTTAAAATACCAAATAAGTCCCTTTACCTATTTGTATTCATAGTGCAAAAGATTAAAAATCAAAAAAATTTCATATTTATAGTACTTACTATTTTTGTTAAATGGAGAAAGGCTTGGATATTTTTGAAATCATAAAATTTTATAACCCCAGTAAGCCTATTATGTTCATTGTAACAGGTAGAAATTTTTCACGGATCACGATAAGTGCATTTGGCCTTTTTATCGTATTGACAAAAAAAAAGGTTGAAGAAGATTTTACTTCTCAGGCAGTATCTGACAATAATTTTTTCATTAATAAAAATAAATGTTAAAAATAAATGTTTCTGTTAACTTTAATAAATAAAAAAGTTATCAAAAGTATCTAAAAAAGTAAAAAAAATCACATGATACAAAACTATTAATCGGCAAATATAACAAAGTGTTATGAAAAATGTTAATAATAATTTTTTTAAACTTATTACCTCTGAAAAACAGCAAAAAATTGATTTAGCGCGTCATCGGGCTTTCTCTTACCCATCTTATACATTGAGTTGGAAGTGCACGCAAAGTACACGCGCGTAGGAAGCATATTGTTATAACGTAAAAAAAACATAACAACAAACAAAATTTTGAAAATTTATTTAGGTTATGTTGTTTATTATAGTTTGAATATTCGGTAAAAAATTTAAAATTATGGCATTTTAAATTTTAAGGTATATTATTTAATTCAAGAAAATTAGAATTTTCGTCAATTTTGGATTTTAAAAAATTCATAACAATTAAAGGGTTGAAGATACGATAATGGACGTAAGAACTTTTTTTATTCGAAATATGCTAAAGAATACAAAAAAAATTAATTCATTGCAAAAAATGTATTTTTTTTGCCTTAATTAATTTTTCGTTGTTTAAACAATAACATCAACAAATATCGAGTGTCATCTTACACTTTTATAATTAGGCAAGCCTTCTGGACATTTAAAAAAAAATTACGAATTAAAACAATTTTGCAAACGAATGCGCCACTATGCACTGCACTATCTCTGGCATGAGAAAACAGTATGTTTAGCGGTGTCTATAGTGTTGCAGTAGTAACATAGCTCGTCCACCTTTTTGTTAATATTATGTGTGAACATGTGTGTGAACATCCATGGGTGCTAAGAAACTGTCATCCAGTAATTCGTGCATTTGTTTGCAGTTGACCCACTTGTCTATACGAGGGATCAGCGTGTTTGTTCACTGTCCTATTGTGGTATTTTCAGTTCACCTTTCCTGCTATTTTTTTAATTGTATCTTCTTTTGCCTATCTTTTTCCTGCCTTGCTGATGTCATGTTCTACTATATATTTTCTTTTTTCCGTTAATAAATCTACGGGAGTGATACCTGCTATTACATAAGTCACCTCATTGCAAATAGTTCTGTATCCCATTATAGTCACGAGTACCATTTTTCTATGTACTCTAACAAACATTCTACTATGTTTTTGTACTTTAAGCACTCTGTTCATACTTCCGCATCATACACTAGATAGAATGCGTAACGTTGTTGTATAACCTCATTACGCTACTTCTGGGTCCGTTAAGATTTGGCAGTATTCTAGTTAGCGCGCTATCTAGCGTTGACATTTTTTACACAGTTCTGTTGATTTGGTTTCTAAAGGTTCCACCTTTATCAATCCATGTGCCTAAATGTTTTAGATTCAATTCTTGATCCTCTTATATTAAATACCTCACCCGATGTATCTCTTCTTTCCTTAATTACCACTGCTTCGGTTTTATTAACTGTCAGTTCTAGATTGTTTTCCTTAATCCAAAAGATAATCTCTTTTAAGGTTTCGTTTCTGTTTTTTATGAGGTTTTGTTTGTCCTTCACCGTAACTCTCAAATGCGAGGGTAAACCCGTCCAGGTATTGTGATGTTCAGAATAAGGTTGAACAGTATATTAAATAATGTAGGGCCCAGTATAGATCCTTGTGTTATGTCTTATACATTTCCATTAATAACTACTGTTCTGGCAGAGAAATGGCTATGAATCAATGCAATGAGATGTGATCTGTGATCAGTTTCCATGATGCAGAGTTGAACGCATTCTTTACATTAAGCGTAACGAGCACCGCTCTTGTGCTTTTGTTTTCTTTGTCCCTGTTCATGACCGTTTCTACTGTCATTTGGACAGATCTGTCTTTTCTAAAACCATCTGTCTGATAGACCATCTTATAAGGCTAGTCTGATTTTAATAACCTGCTCATACAACTTCCCCATTACGCTTATGCGACAGATTGGACTTTATTTTTTATTTTCTATAGTATCAGCGACGCCTTTCGGTATAAGGATCAGTTTAGCTTTTTGAAAGTCTATTGGAAATTTCTTCTCTCTCAATAGTCCATTTAATAGTATGAGAGCCCACTGCAAATTTCAACCGTCCTCTGATAACGAAATATGCTCCAAAGGCATGTAACAATATTGTACTTTACCAAATTACACCTGTGCCAATCTCTATCCTGAGCAAAGTGGTTAAAAAAAATTATTTTATATTCAAAAAAATCACATAAGACATGACAGCGACAATTGTGTTTTCCCTGAAAATTACAATCCTAATTCAATATAAACTTAGCTTTTAAACCTGAATTATTAATATTTTTACCTACCTTTTAAACTATTTTTATGTATGAAAGGAAGAAGGATGGCATTGTATAAACCATTTGCAGAGGTAGTCAATAATAATTATAAACTCTTGTTAGACAATTACACCGGCACACACACAAAAAAAAAGTTGTTTGTACATCAGACACGACCTACCTACCGGCATATATTTTGACCCGCTGAATCCGAATTTCAAATCAGTTTGGGCCGTCCACCCTTCAATATACACTAGGGTGTTTCATTTTTGAGCAACTTTTTTTTTCAACTAAAAAACAGGCTTAAAACTTTCAGAAAGGTGAAAAAAGAAGCCTCTAAAAATTTGAGCTCTTAATATTATCATTTAGTGGTGCCTGTTCGTAACTTTCCATTTTCCATCTAAATAACATGGACATTTTTTTTTTCTTCTTTCTTATTTTTGTAGTTTGACATTTGAGCATTGTAAAAATAAAGTGAAACATTATTTTGGTAGGAAATTGAACGCCCTACAAAAAGTTCTAATATATTTTTTTCATAGAGTGAGCCGTTCTGAAGATATTCAAACTTAAAGTTGCAAATGTATGAAATTAGGACTTTTATTTTATTTATAATGCTTCATTCAATTATTTTTATGAATTTAGAAATTTGTAAAATACAAATCCCGTTTATATTTGATACATCCTCATATATTTCCCAAAATATTATCTATTGTCCAGAACTTTTTCTGTTTCTCGTTTAGAATTTTGGTCTAGAAAACTTGTACTTGTCTATGATGAAATTCTTAAGCCAACTAGAGAAATTTGTAGCAGTTTTAAGTAATTTTGAATTCATATTTTACCAAAGCAATTATTTAACTTTAATTAAAAAAAATTGTGAATTAAATATATCGTAGTACGCACAAAATCTGAAAAGTCAGACCTATCTGAAATAAGTTGTAAGTAATTATAAAGACTATCACCGAACCCCAAAGATGAAAACAAATACTTGGATATTTAAAAATACCTGTCGTCGCCGGGATTTAAACCCACATATCTTTGTTTTGTACACAAATGCCCTTACCTCTAGGTACTGTGGAGATTCCTAGACGGCAATTAGAGCCAGAGGCCCTATCCTCGACTATCGTTTTCTAAAAAAAGTAAAGGCTTTAGCGATATGCGAGCTATTCGCTATTCTCGACATTCGTTTTTAAAACGGGTGTTTTACAGCGAGCAGAAATTTTCACACGTTTTTGATAAAACGTGCATATTTTCAAGGATTTAGCCGATTTTCCTGGAATTATAGATTGCATTGACTGCATCCGTCATCCTGAACATTTATATATTATATGATTAGAAAAAATTGCCATTCGATAAATTTACAATTGGTATGTTGTAATTAAATTACATAATCCTTATCTTTTATGACCTACACATTACTTGAATTCAACAATATAGACAGTTTACAGTGATTCCAGACATATTATTTGCTTGTTAAAAACGTACATGTTTTAAAAAACGACTGCTCATCGAACTTAGTTTCAAGCTTCTCAAATCTTTAAATACCTCTATACAGTATGTGAGAAATGCAATGATGCACACTAAGCCCATATCTTCGTCTTCGCAAGTTACCGATGCTGTATACAGGTATTTGAAGATTTGAGAACGAGCTTGAAATGGCGTCTGGCTCGAATTAGCACATCATATTGCTGTCTAGGAATTTCGACAGTCAATGTGGTCATGGTCTACAGGTGTACAAAACAAAGATGTCTGCATTCGAATCCGGCCGACGACAGGTTTTTTTTAATATTTGTATTTGTTTTCACTTTTGGGGTTTGGACGTGGTCCTTATAATTCGTAGGGGGATTTTGAGATTTGTTTCCGAATTTTCAAATTACTTTTAATGTGCCGTAGGTAAATTTTTTATTAATACTTATCTACTTTCAGATAAGAATGCGTGAAGCTTTAGTCAATATGAGAAATCAAATAGAAAAAAAAGATACACTAATTGCTATTTCTGAAGAAAAACTAGAAAAAGTTCAAACAGAATTGAAAAGCTCCATACAAGGAGTGTCATGCGAAACGATTTGTTATAAAACTCGCTTAGAAGAACTAGAAAAAGAACTAAAACAGGCCAAAGATGAAATAATAAAATTAGAAAATCAATTTAGTGAAAAGTTTCCACATTCTGATATTGAATATGATAAACTTGCTGCAATGAGAACAGAGTTGGAGGCCACTAAAGCAGAGAATGAAAAACTACAGGAACTTACCAGAAAGATGGCTGCGATAACAGGTAAATCTAAGAAAATGCAAATATATTAAATATAAATAATAATTGTTTTAATAGGCGATGAACATGTTCAGAAAATGTTGAAGCACTCTGAATCTGCCATAAGGAAAGTAGTTACAGAACTGTCTAAACAATATAAAGAATGGGATCACTACAAAGAAGAACGGCGTAGATCCAGAAGTAGATCTAACAGCCGATCACCAAATCAAACAACCCTTACAATTGGCTACTTAGAAGCAATCCACAATAAGATACACTCACGTCGACAAAAACGTAATCAAGACCATAAATATTCGAAAATATGCCAAGGACAACTGTCAACACTAAAACTAAGAAACGAAAAAATCTAAAAATAGGAAAATCTAAATCACAGAACACTAAACTACGAAACCATTTACTTGAAAATCTATTGTGGGGAGAGTATAAACATAAAATAACATAAACAAAACTAAATTTTAGTAGATATATCTATGAGGGATAAATATTTTAAAATCATATTTATTTAATAAAGCATAAGCAATACTGGCAACATCATTCCACTTTTCTATAATTTTTCTATATTAGTATTTGGAAGTAGGTATTTTAATATTCATTAGTTTTTAATTTTTTTAATCTCTGTAATAAAAGTAAAAACCACTAAATATTACGTAGAAATGCATTATTTTAATCAAATGGGCATGCTCTTCCAATTTTTATGACAGACATTATGTCAATATAGTAAAGTTATTATTAGTTTCAGTTCTGTGATCTAGATATAGACGTATTATTATGATGAGACATTTATGGTTTGGTTTATGATCTAAGTATGTAAAAGCTGAAGAAGAAGCGAATTTAGTGTAGTTAAACACCAAATATTTTTAAAGTACATTGACTGTAATATATTATTATCATTCATAAAATAAAAACAGAATTGTCTACTAATAAAATTTAAACAATTTTGTGATAGTAAGTTACAGAAATTAATTAAAATTATATTACAGTAAATTCATTGCTTCTAGCTCACTACTAGTATTTGTATAATGTAATAAAGTTGTGAAATCGATGGTATAAATTTTAAAAATTTATTTCTAATTTTATATACAGGGAATTACTTAATGATAGGGCGTAATTCAAGGAGCGCATTTCTGAACCAACTTTAAGTGGAATGTGAGCTATGTGTTCTCCCCCACCACAACCTTTTCATATCCATTGTGGATATCTTTTAATCGTCTAATTTCGTCTTTTGTAGTAGACTCCATAGACTAGGAAATAGTTTTCCGGCGTAGCTAGTTGCCCTTTCTTCTCCAAGTGTACGGAATCCCGGTCTTGATAGACCTTCGCAGTACCACAATACGTGTTATGCTGTTTCCTTCTCTTCCTGGCAGAATAAACACACGGTCTCTTCTATTAGACCAACATTATACATATGTTTTTTAAATATACACTGCCCTGTTAATAGACCTACTATTACTCAAGTATTTTTCATATTAAGGCTTAGTAGATGATCGCTGAGTTTAGGCGATGGTCTTTTTAGGAACTCTGGCCTGTCTCTGTCCTGGTGCATTTTTCCACCATTTCTGAGATTTTTTAAACTTCGACTGCTTTGTGCATGTTCTGATAGTTGTCTTTGTGACATCACGAAAGGTTCTTCTATGGCCTGTTGCACAGACTAAGGTTAGTCTGTTTTGACTACACATCTCTGTTAGGGCTTCCAAACAGTCACACACAAGCTTTGAATGTACCTGCATAGAACTGAGTCTTTAAACGTCGCTTGACTGTCCGAGTATATGACAATGGTTTTTCCATTTTTGTGTGCAGTAATTTATTGCTGCTATTTCTACCTGGAATAGTATCGCGTGTTTACCTAAGCTTAGTGAAATTTTTTTTTCTTTGGCTTGGTCTATATAAAACTACTCCTAAACCTTCATGAGTTGTATACTAGGTGAATTCTGCATAAATAGGGGTCATCCTGTCCACGCTTACCTTTCTAGTATACTTTCTTCATATTGCTTTTAAAAGCTATAATTTGGGAGCATTTCGTCTAAAGGCATGCCCATTATTTGGTCGTTCTCAGACTCTATATAGCTCGCTGTGGTCACGTCCATGCAAACTACTTTGACAGTCTGTATGTGACAGTATGTGACAGAACTAGCTTCGCTTTGAATGAATATATGTAGTGATGTTGGGTTTAGCATGACTTCTAGGGTTGCTGTTAGAGTCGTTATCATTGTTCCCGTAGTATTAAGGCAAGATTGCCTTTGAATACCATTGAGCTGTCGAATGGCTCTAGCTTGTTGAGTCTTTGGTCACCATACCACCGACCCAGAGGTTATTATTGGCCTGATGACTCTGGTATATAGCCATAGGGACATCTTCGGTTGTAGTCCTCATTTTTTTCTACACAACTTTCGACATAAGTTTGATTTTGGGTAACTATTTTGCAAGTGTTGATTCCATATAAACATGTAGTCAAAGATGACTCCTCAGTATTTGGTCTCTTGAGCAAAAGGAATCTTCACTTCTTTTAGTACTTGGTGACTTTAGTCCTGTCAGTACTTTTCGTTTTGTAAAGTTGACTATTATAATTTTGTGAGGGTTTACCTGTTAGTTCATCCTCCTGCACCACTCGTCAATGAAAAATCTGCGGCCTAAAAGTGTACATCTGTATACATGTAACCTTAAAAGGTTTTTAAGATACAGATTTTTAATGTTTTTAAGAAAAATAGGTTTTTTAAACTGTCACAGAAAGCGAATTATATTCAAGGGTAATATACCAAGACCTTGATAATAGTCGACTATTTTTGTTGAATCTAAATCTCGAGAATATTTTAATATCAATTTGATGAGACATAAATTATGTAAAATCAAATTGTAAAATGCTGGAAAAATTTAGCAAAAACAAAAATAGCATAATATTAATGAAAATCGTGTTATATTTAAGACGACTATTTCTCTAGAGAAATAGAAATTTGGTCTAGGGAGATAGTCATAACTAAATAACATTTCCTAGCAAGGGTCAAAGTTAACGTGATCTTATTGTTAATTTTAATAATTTTTCGAAATGCAATGAAGTTGTATTTTGGGCTGCTTAATCGAAAAAAAAAAATACTTAAAAATGTATAAAAGTCAATGGCGTATTTTTGTTTGTCAATATTCCTAAGAGTGTCCCTCGTGCCTCATAATTATCTTCTAGTTAGTGTTAACTTAGCGTCTTATTACAATGAAGAACACTGTCAAATTTCCAGGCAACATCACCAAAGAATCTTTGAGAAATTAATAACAAACTTTTTTTTTAACTTTGACACCCTGTATCTTGAAAACCAGACTTTTTAGGACATGTTTATATAAACTTTTCTACTTACACTTGGTTCAGAAATGCGTCCTTGGAATTATGGCCTATCATTAAGTAACAATCACTCTGTATTTTTTAATGAAGTAAAATATTAATGCTGGATTTAGGAACGGTATACCAATAGATTCATCTGGGTTGCAGTGGAAGGCGATGAGATCGTCACACTCATTTCTAACCTATGCAAGGTAAGTGTAGATGATAAGCTTCATATTAGGTTCTTTCGTTCCTCACATTGGTGAAGGAATGAACTACACCAACGCACACCATACCTTTCATTTGTCCTGGTATAAAATCCACTACACCTTCCTGTCGGCGATGTTGTGTCCACTGGTGGATATTTTTTTCACCAACTTTAGCAGCAGTGAATTACACTCGACATGTGTATAAGGAATAAGGAGGAAAAAAATTAGGGTAAATAAGGTGGTGTAACTAGTGTAATTTACACTGGTGGACACTGCACCAACAGCGAATAAAAGAATCTATTATATTAAACTGAAAGCACAGAATAACCCACCTATTACAGAAGCGAAGGCTTGCGTCGGCACGTTTGATATCGGGATGGCCAAATTCAAAGTGACACTCGGTGACATTTGACGTTTTTGCCGGTTGTTACACTGGTAAAATTAAACAAGATTCGAATAAATTCGGATAATACACTGAGAAAAGGATTTAAATATATGTAACAAACTTATTTAGCAACATCCACTATTTTTTCTCTGAATTGAAGGTTAGTGATATTAGAAAAATAAGGATTCACAATAATTAGAAAATGGTTTTTACTTGAGAAACCAGACCGAATACTCATTGCACTTAGTTCATCAGTTTTTTTTTTAGATAACATTAACTCTTTAACAAAGTGATTCTATTACAATTAATTGTGTACTTTCCTGGAAAACACCTTCAACTATGATAGTTGGATCTAGAAAAATAGATTAAACTGATAATAACTTGCATAAAAATGCAAATATACTTCCCAACTGTAATTTTGAAAGCCTTTTATGTGTTTTAGAGCCTTATGATATGTCAATAATACCATATACAATCCCTGTAATAAGACTTTCGCCATACTCTCTTATAATAATTCGACAACTCGGTGGATAAATACGTGATTTTTTACAATTCTATTTTTGTAAACAAAATTAATCTAGTAGTCGTTGATAGAAAAGCGTCGCCAATAATTGGCGTAACGATTTATTACACTGTTTTACACTAGCACTAACGTTCACTACACTAGCTCAAATGGCTTTTCTTCCTTTCGAGTCTTATGTGCAGAGTTGTCCAGTAACTGCAGCACTTCTTCATTAACGTGGGAGTGGAGTCGACCTTCATGTTTTGTCTGTATAAAGAATCGTTTAGATAGAACCAGGGTGCATAAATGATACATCTTAGGACTTTATTTTGGAAAACTTATATTATGGCACGTCCTCGTAGCTGTATTTCATAAATCCAGACTGGATTTAGGGTTTGTTTATAAATCATATGAATTTGTTGTATACATAAATTTGCATTTTTAGATGCATAATTATTAGAACTTTGAATTAAATTGAGATTTGAAGAAAAGTACTGTAGTAAAAAGGTTGTTATAAATAAAACACGTACCCATACTGACTATTCATTTTAATAAACCAAAATACGAAAAACACGTATTACAAAAATCAAATTAATAAAAATCTCAATATGAAAATTACACACCAAAAGGCACAACATTTTAGACAAAGGAATATTCCCTAGGTCCTAAAAAATATAAGGTAAGCTACAACTGCTTGTATTCATTGGAATGCAAATGGTTGGTTTAAAAATTGTGGCCCAACCGAAGGATATTTTTGGGACTGGTACGTGCGTTATCGAAATAGAAACAACGATATCTCTTCAATCTTCAAAGTTAGTCATTCTTTTGCTGGGACCTAAAAAAATATTTAAATAAAAAAAAATACATAAACACAACACTTTTATATTATTTTTAATACCTGGTGTACTGAGAAAATCGTCGTGGGATTTAGTAGTAGATATTGAGGATACAGATTCATTCAGAATGATCAATGTTTTCATTTGTTGTGGGTGTGTGCCAGAATATTGTCAGAAGTACATTTGCAAATAAACGTTTCCGAGTTGACCCAACTGAAAAACTACTGGGCTGGAATAGTTATTTACGATATAAGTATCGAAAAGTTTCATATTACGATACACGATGGAAATATTGTCCAACGAGTATCGTAATATCAATTTACGATACGAATATTGTACAAAATTTTATCTACTATCAAAAAAAAAAAAAAAAAAAATAACTACCAGATTTTATGTACATTGATATGACAAAGATGAAGTTAGCCGTCTGTTAGATATTTGAATTCACCTTTAGCGTAGTCATAATTGACATTAATAATTTTTTCGAGACAAAACATAGTAGCCTTGTGTAGTTGCTAGGTTTTGTTTGTTGGCTAAATAATAACTCTAAATAATTTACTCAAAATAATAATTCTCATGAATATTTGTGAAGAAAATATGTCTTACATTGAATTGGCAGTTAACGAAGCCATTGAAACTTGAATTCCTGCAAAATCTAGGAATAGATATGAAAAAGAGTTCCAGCGATTTGAAGAATGGTGAAAATTAAAAAATGTCGATGGTATTTCGGAAAAGATTTTATTGGCTTATTTATTCGAAAGAGCCGCAGTTGAAAAACCATCTAAATTGTGGACTCACTATTCCATGTTAA